GTAGTTAAGGGTATTCAGCATTGTTTAACATTGGTCTATGTCTGTCTTTCAACTTCCAGATCCTCACAAGAAATGGCTGCTTCACAAGTTACATTGTCTTGCAACAAATCTAGCATAGCTGTCGAATCCAAGCCGCTTATTGAGACCACAAGGCCCGAGAAGCCCAATGCCGTATCACGTTGTACCTGGCAGCTCGGAATGACTCCAGACCTGAGCCCTCATAGCCATGTTGAATTGTAAGTAAACATGTGGAAATTTTGTACTGCTTTATGATAATGCAAAGCTAACTACCAGTAGTGAATCATTAATATTGTGTTCTTAATTAACCTCTTTTTTCTTCAGCTCATGTTGTCACGTCACATAGATTGTGTTCATTACATATGTTTTTCAATAATACCAAGTGTATAGGAGTATATATCCTGTGCAGTATATGAACTTAACAACAGACAACAGAAAAAGTAATCATCACATGACTAAAGCAGAAAAAAGTATTAAAATTCAAAAAATACAAAAATACACTGATTCAAAGATGGTATTGATAAACTGTTTTAACTAACTTGTTTTACTCTTCTCCAATTTACACATAAAAATAAAGCATCTATTTCTATATGTTCGTAGAAAGACGGAACATTAATAAAATGACAAGATTAATATAGAATTGAAATGACAGACCAGACAAAAACTTGGGATCGGCAGTACTAGCCATAGCCAATTTACCCATTAAACATTAATTTTACTGACAGGAAGGGTCTGTTGAGATCTGTACAATAAATAAAAATACAGTATTTAAATTAGAGTATATATATATATTTATTTGTATTTATATATTTATCCCTGATAAATAAATTGTTTACTAATATGGGTTATCATTTTATATACCAATTAACATGGTTCCTCAATCATATTTAAATATACATTAATAATTATTTTTTAATCAATTATTCTTTTGCAGGATTAAACATGACTTCTTCAAGCGGGCAGAGACTCGTAATTTCTTTCCGTTTTTCTCCCCGTAGGTCAACATGTCACCAAAACGTGAGCTTGGACTGCTAACATGAAGTGTTAGTACTGTCGCTACGTACCAGAAGCTGGCAGTAGCACCGGTCTTAGTACTAAGGCAACGCTTCCTGACTCTCTCTTTCTTTTAATAACTGCTTCTTCTTTTTTGGAAGGGACTATTGCAAATTTGTTGTATAAACTATATATATATGGGAATAATATTTGTGATTATCCTTTAGTAAGTTGAATAACATCATTTTCTGTTGGCTAATGGACACTTTAATTTGTGATCCATTAATTGTTGCTTTTCAAACAATTTTTATAAATTAGTTTAAATTTATGATACAATATTATATGATATTGTAATTAAATTAATAAATTTTACACAGTTATACAATGAAAAGTACAATTGTTACAGTAACCATTGTATTTTAATAACCATTTTTTTTTGTAAAAATCTGTACTACTACTTTTTGCGAAGTTTTGCAAAAATTTGTAATTTTTTTTATAAACTCGATTCCCTATTGTTAAATCATTGAGAGGGGTGACTGATTGAAAGGTAAATAGAATGATAGATATTCAAAATTAACAATAATAATAATAATAATAATAAAAAAAAAAAAAAAAATAATAATAATAATAGATGTAGAGAAAGCACATTGCATCACAAAATAAGTTTAGACAAAAATTCCTCCTATTCCGTAAACCAATCCTGATCCACTGTTGGAGATTGTTTTTTCTAAATAGATAATCGTAAGGCCCACAAAAGTAAGAACAAGCAATTAAAATAAAATTGTTGGGTATATTTTACAATATTTAAAGTAGCTATTTCACAACTTAATATCATTTTTCGTTGGCTCACAATCATGTCTTCATACGTACAGATTAACATATGGTTAAGGGGTGGATTCAGCAAGTAGGACCATTTCATAACAACCTGCTGCTGATAATAAATAGTTCCAAAGATGACTGCAGATATGTGCAGATAAAAATGTTCAACTGTACGTAGGAAGCCTTGATTGTCTCTTGATCTTTTATTATTAACAATTATAATTTTTTTTTTGCACATCTACTGGTCATTCACTATAATATATTTTTGCGCTGGATTTGATGTTGTTTGGTGTTTGTGTGGAGTGCTGTACGTAGATGTTCTCTGCTGAGATGGGGCTTATGGATGTCGTTTGGGCCTCATCATCAATATTGTTTCATATTTTCAGCGAAAATCTTCCAGGTTTTGATTATCACGAAGACCAAACGATGTGGATGTACTCGCACCTTCACAGCCAGTCACATTGAGTACATGTAGATGCAGAATGAGGGATAAAATTCCTCCTATTCCGTAAACCAATCATGATCCACTGTTGGAGATTGTTTTTTCTAAATAGATAATCGTAAGGCCCACAAAAGTAAGAACAAGCAACTAAAATAAAATTGTTGGGTATATTTTACAATATTTAAAGTAGCTATTTCACAACTTAATATCATTTTTCGTTGGCTCACAATCATGTCTTCATACGTACAGATTAACATATGGTTAAGGGGTGGATTCAGCAAGTAGGACCATTTCATAACAACCTGCTGCTGATAATAAATAGTTCCAAAGATGACTGCAGATATGTGCAGATAAAAATGTTCAACTGTACATAGGAAGCCTTGATTGTCTCTTGATCTTTTATTATTAACAATTATAATTTTTTTTTTGCACATCTACTGGTCATTCACTATAATATATTTTTGCGCTGGATTTGATGTTGTTTGGTGTTTGTGTGGAGTGCTGTACGTAGATGTTCTCTGCTGAGATGGGGCTTATGGATGTCGTTTGGGCCTCATCATCAATATTGTTTCATATTTTCAGTGAAAATCTTCCAGGTTTTGATTATCACGAAGACCAAACGATGTGGATGTACTCGCACCTTCACAGCCAGTCACATTGAGTACATGTAGATGCAGAATGAGGGATAATTAACATCGGTGAAAGCTGGAGCACTTTTCCCTTCTTTTTCTTATTTCTTTCACATTGAACAGCAGCAACACATTCACCACACAATGGAATGATGCACTACAAACTGAGTCTCAACTTGAGGCTTAGGTTGTGGAGTCATGAGAAAGGTCTTGATGTCTCACAAAATTTAAAACCTTAGGATTGGAGGACAGGAATCTTAACCACCAAGGTACAGCTCCACTCCAGGCCTCAAACTAATATTGTTTTCTTAGGGCCTGGCGAAGATGGCAGTAAAATATAATGCTGGTCGTGTTGGAGGAAATGGCTAAAAATGGTGCGATGTTGAACACGGCACTTTGTAAGGTGTCACAGATATCATCTTACCAATACCTGTTGCACAATACCGCTTATTGGTGCTAATAGATAAATGTGTTCCACATTGTAATCTAGGCCCTAGGCATTTTCTTTCTTGGTATATTACATGTTCCAAGAACAAAAGCAAAAACTACAGCTTATGCAGAAATTCTCAATGTCGTGGCACCGGTAAAACAAGAATACCGAGTGAATGACTGATGGAGTCAACCGTCAATCTGTGAATTCATCAAAATTCAGTTACTTTTTCTTAAATAATAGCATACAGCTATTCTACTATGCAGAAAACTACTGACACACCACTCAATTTTATAACAGGAAAATGAGAACATTTCTATATAAGTTCTCTGACTTGGGGATTAAATGGGGGTGTGGTCATTTTTTTCAAAATTTTCTTAGAAATTAAATTGTTAA